ATGTGTATAAGAGACAGTATCATGACTGGATCTCATCCTGATCAAGGGCCAAATCTTTTTAGCATTGAAAGGAAGTAAAAACAAGAATTAAGAACTTTCTCTGATTACTGCTGGGATAGCAGTGTTCTTTTCTTTCCTCTACCTGCAAGGAAATACTTCAAAGCGGCCATTTATTCAGGCAGTGTAATTCTTATCTCTTTTTACCGACTGACCTACATCTTTTATTTTACTTTAACACTTGGGCCTGTGTCCCTCCCACCTGATTTTATTCACCTGAGACACGTGTCTTTGGAAGGTGGTGAATGATTGCTTCCTGGAGAGGAGGAGAGGAGAGAGATGGTTGTACCCCAGCAGCAGTGCAGCCTGCCTAAGATATGAGTTACCTCCTTGCTGTAGCCCTCTTGCTCACTTTTTCTCTGTCTTCATTGACTGTGTAGGATGACTTTGCTTGCTTGGTGTAACAGATTAGATAAGGCATGTAAGTACCTAAAATTAGTACCTCTTTATTTTAATTGTAAGTTGACCAACAAGAGCAGAGGAAAAAGGACGAGACAATGTAAAATGAAAGTTAGTTGCTTAGCTATAGGGGTACTTCAGTGCTTGACTGACACTCATGTCTTTGAAAATCTGCCCTCAAGGAAAATGATGCTGCACTGTGCACAACCTGTGCAAAACTTAGCAAATATTTGGAATGTGTTTAGAAGATTAATAATGTCATAATTTTCCTCACTTTGTGGGTTTTTTTCATTTTTTCCCCCCATAAAGCGATGTACTAGGGGCTCATCAGGTTGTATGTTAGATAATTGAGTTGTTATGCCAACAGGCTGTGCTGAAAGGTGTTACATCAGTGATTTCTTTTTCATCCCACTATGCTTTGATCTTCTGCTATAAAGCAGAAGATCTAACAGTGGAAACTTTTGAAGATGATAGATGAATTTTGCTAATCCACTTTTCATAATCCTTACAAAAAATGTCTGTCCTTATCAGTCAGAAAAGATTTAATAGCTGTTGTCTCTAGAAAGTCTCATCAGGATTGCAAACTATGGAATTAGTGTTATGAAATATTTTACTAACATGTTTTGAAATGTTGTTGTAAATGCTTTAGAGTAAGTGAAGATGCTTCTTTGTTAACCATGCTTTGTTCGTTGTATTTTATCACTAAAATTCAAAACTCCTTTGCAAGAGAGCACTGTGCAATGGTGAATATTTGCTGTCCTTACTGGTGTTAATTGCCCTTCTTTAATTTCATATTATTGGAATTAACTGAAACAGTCAACTTAATCCAAATATACTAATTCCAAACATTATATGGTGCTGAAATAAATGGTAAAAGTCTTGCCTCACAAGATGTAAAGCATTATAGCTGATGGAACCATTGAGACAGTAAACAGTGTGTAGAATACTGTTTTAGAATACTGTTTGCAGATTTGGGGGGAATAAAATGTGACATCTTCTAGGAAGGAACAAGTGCCTGTGCTTGTCCCTAGATGAAATTCACACTTATATCATCCAGATGAAGTCAGTAAAGTTGCTGCAGTTGCCCAGGATTTTGTCCAGCACAGTCTTGCCCAATATACTTTTCGTTAGTTGAGCTCCCCACGTCTCTGGAAAAACCCTTCTTATAGAAAATTGCCAGTAATGCTTAGGATTATAAAAAGTATTCACCAGGTCTGATTATATTTTATCTCTTTTTCTTTACAATAGCTTTGGGCCAGATAATGCTCTATGTCGATGGCATGAATGGAGTAATAAATCATAATGAAACCATCCAATGGCTGTACACACTTATTGGGTCAAAGGTAAGACACTCTCCAAAATTCTCATTTTGTATGATTTTTGTGTTCTTTTAATACATTTTATTTGTATTACGTATGCATTTAGGGTATAAACAGTTATAAAAGCTCTAAATGAGTACATAACAGTCTGCATGGAAACCAGGGTACACTGAGCTGTTATTTCTTTTCTACTGTTTTTATACTCTTTTTGGCTGTGTTGACACATACTCTGCTCTTAAAAGCCATGATACCATGCACTCATTACTGTCTGTGCTGCCATTGCAGCTGACCATGGGGAAGATTTTTTGGTCTTGCAGTTGCAGCTCCCAAGACATTCTACAAAACCACTTTTTGGGGTGTTTCTTCCCTTTCCATTCTCTGAATACAAATCCTTTTCTACAGTTTCACCATTTTGTACTGCTCAACTTTGCTGAGCACTGTGGGAGAGTAATTCAGAGTGACTTCCTTTTTAGAATAGAATAGAATGGTTCAGTTGGAAGTGACTTACAACTATCATCTAGACCTAACTGCCTGACTAATTCAGGACTGACCAAATGTTAAAGTGTGTTATTAAGGGCATTGTCCAAATGCCTCTTAAACAGACAGGGATAGGGCATCGCCCATCTCTCTAGGAAGCCTGTTCCAGTGTTTAGCCACCCTCTCTGTAAAGAAACGTCAAGTTTAATGACAAGAATTGTCAAGTCCTAATGTTAAGTGCCTGAAGAGCCCTAGAAGACAAAATCTGGTACCTGCCTACAGGGGATTCTTTGTTGGTCCCTACATACAAAGAGACAAAAGCTGAAGGCCAGAATGTATGCCACTTGGGTTGATCTTCTCCAGTGGAGTATTGATTTATATAGTGCACAACCCACTTTTAAGGCCATCTTTTCTGCAAGATGAGAAGAAAACAGGACGTAGATTCTCTTGGCATGCCATCCTGAAAGGCCATAGGGTAGATAAAACCACAAATACACCATTTGACAGTCTGCTGGCTGTCCAGGAAGTTTAAGGCATGCAGGAAATGCTGCTGCTCTTGCCATGTAGACCTGCTTGGGATAGATCTGTATGACACAATAGATGGAACAGGGTATGTTAGCTATTGTTAACAACTCAAAAATTGCTGTAATTGGTGGAGTTGTATCCATAGTTAGAATTACCAATAAATCTCCAGGAACATTTCCTCAAGTGGCTGAGATACAGAAAGTCGCTGTTGGATACTGTAGCGACATAGAGATGCTGCTGCTCTCCCCCTTTCCCCTGATAGCTTTCAGAACACAAGGAGAAAAGGTCCCAGGGGCCTTTTTTAACCACTACAGACTTTTTTTCTACTATATGCAGACTACACTGCTGCAGCAGATTATCAAGTCAAAGAACAGATGCTGCAGTATTGAAATAACTGATTTATCTTGGGTTGATGTACCTATATTGGTAGATACGTAAAAGTAAGATAATTACAGTTATCAAATCTCAGTTTTGCAAGGCGTGGCTCACAACTGGGAGAAGATGAGGAGAAATTTTTCTCCAATGTAAAATGTTCCACTGTTGTCTGGGCATCACGCTGGGCAATTTGCCTTCTTGAAGCAGAGAATGTTAGCCATGTTTGGAAAAACAGTGCAAGATGAGAGAGAAATGGTTTGCTTGGTATAGATCCTGATTTTCTGTGGGACAGATAAAAGATGCAAACAAAAAAGGAAAAAAATACATTGCCATGTCTATGATTATTTTAATTCACTAATGCACCTAATAGGAGTGGGATGAGAGATAAACACAACTGTATTGCTACCTTGCAGATTAAATTCTGTCTAGGTTTTCTTGACCAGACCACATCAGTTCTGGGGTCCTTAAGCTCCTTTTGCCCTCCCCCATCGCCAGCTCGAATGATTATCTCCGTGTCCTGGCCCGGTGCCTGCAGCTGAGGAATGCAGGCAATGCGCTTTGAATAGTTTGGTTTCAGGTAGCATCAAAGTTGCTTTTTCATTATTCTTTGACTGTCTTGGAAGAGATCTAAGTCCCTGTCTGTGTGCCAGAAGTTAACTGAAGGTATGGCAGGCTTACTGTCAGAGTGTGGTGGGACAGCTGCTTTATGCACTTAAAGGTGGTTTTGACTTTCTGTGAAAAATGAACCCCCGGAATTTGCCACGCACCTACAGTCTAATTTGCAGCCTTGATACGCTGGTGTCTTCTCTGCAAAAAAGATGGAGAAAAATAAGTTAACACTGTTGAACAAAAAAGGAATAGTGAAATTGCCAAATAAGTCTTGGGATAAATCCCTCTAACAGGATGCAGGAGGAATACAGTCATTCAGCTGCCACAGCTGTGACACATGGTTTCTTGCCTTCTCAAAAGCTCTGACAAGACTTAATATACTCAGCAGTGGAGACTGCTGAACCTTTTCCACTGATTTTTTTTTTATTATTATTATTTTTGGTCAAGTTCTATAATGGTTTTGACCCTTCACTCTTACTTGTTCTGCTCTGCTTGCATAGGACTGCTGGCACCCTTACTCATTTGGAGTGATGTATTACTGTAATTTCAGCAGAGGATCTTAGAGTCTGGCACACTCAGCACTGCAACAGCTATAATTTTGGTACCCAGCTCCAGGATCACTTTATGCATCTAGCAGTATTTCTGTACAGGGATAGGGGAAAGGGGTGGAAAACAAAATTTAAAATTAGTGAGAAAGAAGGACTATAAGCAGTTTACTGAAAACCTGTCTAGATTATTGCCATCATATTCTTTACTATTGCTAGTTCTGCTGCAGTTTTAGCCCTCTGAGCACCAATGGATGTTTATATAGATGGTTTATTGGAAGTTGCTGATAATTTTAGCGCTGTTGTCTCATTTTGCTATGGATAAAGTTATCAGGGAAGTGGTGCTGCTGCCCTTATGCCCTTATGGGTAAGAGGCATCAGTGATGTTAGGGTGAGGAACTGCAAAGTGGGAAGAAAGTTAATCTTAGATGACTCATTTGTTAGTGGGCAGAAAGAGCCTTCTGTTTCAGACTGGTATTATATAGGTTCTAGACTGGAAATTTGAAGTTAGCAGTACCCTTTTTCTGCCGTGTTATTTAAAGAGAAGAGCATTATCAGCACATCCCAAACTCTTATGGCCACCGACGGTCCTTTGCAAGACACATCCAACCACGTGTGACCACACCCGTGTATGCCACTGGCCTTTCATAGTTTGGCTGTAGACTGCTTTCCAATCATCAATGGCTAATACATCCCTGGCATAAACCATTTACAGCATAATCCCCATTTAATTGTACATTAGTACTATTTCATCATTAGTTATATAGGCAGCAATTCCTCAGTCTTTCCCTGTTTAACAAAGCATGCAAGTATGTACTTAATTATAGGTGTATGGTTACATGCTGTTGGCTTCCAAAGAACTTTTAATACATAACTGAGTTCAGCAGTGTACTGCTGTAGGAGTGCAAAAGAAGGCTATAGCAGGGCCAAGGCTCTGACCATCTTACATAAACTAGAAGTTACGTAAATAGGAAATATCTGTGTCAACCAAGTTTTTTAGCATTCATTGGTAGCATAGAACATGCAAGATACTTTGCTTTTAAAAACACAAAACTATACGAGTCAATTAACGCTAATTAACTGGGCTTTCAGAATTGCTCCTTAACTTCTACTTTTTTTTTTTTTTTTTAAGTGGGTAAATCAACCTGTCAGGGGTGTTGCCTTAACTGGCCGTGTGCCATAACACACATGTTTCAACCTCACAGCATCTGGGAAATGATATTTAACCACATTCTCTGTGTTTCTGCCAGCTATACATTGCTGCTGCTGAAGTTGGAATTTTTTGCATTGTATTGAAAGTTATATTTAGCCTGGTTGTAAAGGGATCTGAGGCATTTGCTCATGCTGGCAGCTGGCACCACAAAGCCCTGTGGAGCTCTATGGTGGATCACCTGCAGGTAGAGTCTCGGTATGATGGTGATGGCAAGTGCTGTTGAAAAATTTCTCTTACCCAAAACAAGGGACACTAAGCCATATTTAAGTCCTTAGAATGTATGTTTCATCTCTTATCATGTATGAGGTAATATATCTATTATCTTTCATATGCATTGGTATTCCCTCTGACCTGGTAATGGAAAGTGTATGGTACTGTATCAGCCCCTTACCCTCTCCAGGACTAGCTACCAAGTGTTTACAGAAAGTATATTTCTTGGAAAAAAATCAGGTGTTTATATTGTCCGCTAGAGAAGCAAACCTTCCTTTGCATCACAACCCACAGACGTTTGCCACTGCACCTTGATCTTCAAAGGCACATCTAAGGCATTAAGTGGTCCAAAACCTGAGTCTGGTTTCACCTTCTCTTTTCCTCCATTTTTGACTGATACTACTACTGATAAAGATTATTTTTTCCTATTTGATGATCCAGGCTGTTCTCATTTCCCCCATGGGCGATAAAGCCCCTTTTTGGCATTGTTTTCAGTGGAAAGTAATCCATTTTCAAAGTGATGCTGGGTAACCTCAGAAGACAGAGTGGAATGCTGGGCCCAGGCTGATAGAACAAGGTTGATTAAAGATTCCTATCTCACATCTTGTTTTAATTTTTTTTTTCCTACTTTGCTTCTGTCTGGGTCCTAGATTGCAAGGTTAAATACGAACTTTAACTAGCAAGTTGCTCCCTATGCCTTGCGTGAATCTTTTACTCCCCTTGGTATTGAAGTAGTAATTTTTCAAAATGTTTTAAAATGTAATTCAGTCCAAAAGAATAAAAAAAAAATTCAAAGCAAAAGGAAAAAAACCACAGCATTCAAACAGAATGTAGTTGTAGTGAGTGAATTTGTGGATTTCAAAAGGAAAGTCCAGTAGGGCTGCTTTTCCTGCACGGTGCCAGTGACATGTTAAAACATGCACATGGTTGGCAAGTCATTTCATGAGAATTTTGAGAGAAATAATATTCTTAGGCACAAAAAGTACTAAAATTGTTTTACAACTGAATCATTTAAGATATGTAGAGGTAAATACTCAGTTTAAGAACTTGATTGAATCAGTCTCCATTTC